CCTGGGGGATCTCTGCGGCCTGGTCTAGGTTCCTTAGGGTCCGTCCTCTCGGCTCCCTGATGCTCAAGGTTTCTGAAGATATGAGTAGACCTGGAACTTCTTTTTTGAATTTTAATTCGAAATTGAAATGTTTCAAGTTTGCTTATATCGTTCAGAAAGGTGTTGTAGCTCAGGGGAACAAGCTGTGGGGACGCTGGGGGGAGGGCTTCTCGCGGGGACCCCGAAAAAGGGGGTTTTTTTACGACAACGGTTTTTAAAGAAGTAGGGAAAAAACGCCATTTTCGGGGTCCCCGCGAGAAAAGCTCTCCTTCGGGGAAGATAAAGGAAGAGTATTACTATGTTTCAGGTTTTGAAAAAAATGGCGATGCCCGCCTGTCTACATTGAGTGTTTCCCTTCCCTCTACAGAGGAAGGAGAACATCTCTCACCCTCTTTAGGAGAGGGATCGAGAGTTCTCCCTCCTCTCATGGGGGGATCAGCGAACCCCCCCGTGATGTGGGAGAAGAAGGTTATACACCTTCTCCTCCCCTTCCCCCGACAAACTTGGCCCTCTGTGGCCTCCGAGTTCATCAAGGGGGCCAGAATCCTCCATCCGTTGCCAGATTCCTCCATCCCTGTCCAGTTGATTGAATATGTATCACTGTCTTAAATAAACATTTTTATCAATATTGTTAACTGATTAAACAACCTCGGAAATAACAACGAACAGCCTGTCCAGCCGATGAGAACTAATCGTAAGCGGACCTGAAGACATGCACATAAGCGGAACAGTAACAGTTAACTAAGAAGGGTGATCGAGAAAGAACGAACTAAATAAATGGACAATTAATTCATCTCATTTACGTTCAGTTAGGAGAACGAAGGAAGGAGAGCTTGGGACTTCACACATATACATTGAAACATCAGAAACACAAATTATAAACTGGAAATCTCATCAAACGGGGAAACAACTTTGAAAGGAGGAGTGTTGAAGTAAGACGAGTAAGACGAAGCAACAGGGATCCTCGGATAACACACAACTAAGGCAAAATGTAAGAGCTCAGTGACAACGTTGACAGACTCAACCAGAACCATTTGAATGCCATCCAAAACATTAAAGAAAAGAAGATCTTGGCTATCAGTCTAAGGTGGAGGGTGGAGAAGTCTTAATGGATGGATAGGAACAACCAACTCATCACATGCACGTTCAGTTAGGAGAAAGAAGGAAGAAGATAATAGGACTTCACACATATACATTGAAACACCAGTACCACAAACTTCAAACTTGAAATCCCAAACGAGGAAAAAGAACTGACAGCTATCCTTAACTCTGATCTGAATTACAGAGCGTCAGATTGATTCAGCAAAAGCCTAAAAGGTGATCGAAGAGAAATATGAAAGTGGAAAAACTAAAAACAACTTTGAAAGGAAGAGGAGTAGAAGTAAGACGCACGAAATGATAAATAAAATACAATCAATAGGTCTGTAAGTTGATCGTAGAGGAGGTAACCAATCAGAGATCAGCCAAGTGAGGCCACATACGATCAAAGTAGGAAACCAAACTACTACTTCAAAGAACGATCAGAGAACCTTAGAATATTCAAACTACCAAAATGAACAGAGTGGGAGAAGCAACAAGGATTTCTAGATAACACATAACTAAGGTAAAATAGAAGAGCTCAGTGACAAAGTTGACAGACTCAACCAGAACCATTTGAATTAAAACCGAACGTATCATGCCCAAGTAGAGTGGTATGCGACTAAATTTCTTATTAATTGCAATAACATCCTGATAATTAAGAAGTAGATTTCAATCGAAGAAAAATCAAAAAATCGTGAAAAGTGTATGAGATTCGAGGGAGCTACGTTCAGCTCCATGCATGAAGCACACACCGCTCACTTTTTCACGTAATGAAGAAAATGAAAATGAAAGGACTTCGTTCTTCAACACGGAAATTTGACAAAGTGGTCGTTCATTCCATTCGCTTCTGCACGCTCGATTGGGTGGATTTCCACGTGATTTTCATTCTGAAGAACGCACGCCTAGAACGGTTGTGTATGGAAGATCTAGGAGTTCGCGCGGCGGGTTGTGGAAATGTTCAATATCGCAACGATGTTGAACCGTGATGCTCATGTGATTGAAATCATCGAAAAAGACAGACTATACTCCCTGAGATACGTTGTGTCTGTGTTGAAGTTGAAAGCAGAGGAAAGTGCGAAGACAAACTGCTTTCAAACTCAATTCCAGAGAGAAGTTAGAAGATTCCCGAATGTCCTTCAGACAATCCAGGGTCTAAAGAAGATAAGGTTCTCTAACGACTAGTTATAAAAGAAAACAAATTTGTTCAAATGTGCTCGTTTCTAAGCCGTAGATGTTGCGGAAGTCAACATCCAAATCCTTTCTTCTCTCACAATACATATCAAAGAACGAATCGTCGAAAAAGAAACTCAAAACGAGACCAAACTTCTTCTCAACCAAGTTTATCATTAGTTCATTGGAGAACCGGAATAAACAGTCTGGCAAAGAGTTCGTCTTCAGACAAAGCTAATGGGGAAAACCATTCCAAACTCATTCAACGGAGTTCCGGGTGCTAACAAGCTTCACCCAATAAACGATTGGAAAACGAAATGATTGAACTAAAATTAAAAGAAAAAGAAAAGAAAAGGTAAGAATAGGCGTTAACTTGGTTTTTGGGAGACTGAAGTAGCAAAGGATAATCGATAGGACGATGACCTCATAGAGTTGGGATCAAACTACAATTGACAAATACAATATCCTTTATTGAGTTCTTAATATAGATTCTGATTAATTCGTCAGAACACATATAATACAACCATGCGTTTGATTTCGAGTTGAAAAAAACAATTTTCGAAGCGACATGCAATTGGATGAGAGAGGGAGAGACAGAGAGAAGGATATAGAGAGAGAGAGAGAACATGAGCATGGCTCTTATCAAAAACGTGAAAAAAAACAAATTGTACACATAAATTATAATAATTAAATAAACAATGAGCAAAGATATATGACGAATGAAAGAGAAAGGAAGAGAAATTATGAGACATTTTCTGACCACGGTCAGTTATTGCTTGAGGCAATTAAGCAATGGAAGTCATTACGTTCGTCTGCAACACAATGTAATAACGGAAGTTGATTAGAGGGAAACAAACCTTCTTAGTTTCAGCCATCTCTTTGGAGATATCCATTCTTCACATGGCCTCACGTTCTTACCATCTATGGCGGTACCCATCAAATCAACTTTTTCACCATTCAAAGCAACATCAGCTATGCAACCGACAAAGTTTTGATGATGCAAACCACCGGTCGAATGCCGAATATCCGGAACACCACCTAAATGCAAGATTGATGTATAGAAGTTGATACGCAATCATACCAATGAATATATTTCCTTCAGCATTGAGCATAGCAAGAATTCCGCTGCTCATACCAACAAGAGCAGGATCGTTATCGACTTGTAAGATACCACGTCGGCCTCGTCTGCAACATGATATGGTTAAGCATGTTATGAGAGACAACTATGTGTCTCTACCTTTCTAATCGAACTGTGTGCATGTTTCCATCATTAAGTCGTATAGGAGAGACCATGTTAGCAGCTCCCCCACCCAACTCATATCTAAATCAAACTCATGCATCTGATTGATGAAAAGAAATAAAACGAACGAGTAATGTAAGTATCCATTCGTTAATCCTAATGAGATGTAATCCTCCCCAACAACAGAGACATCTGGTTGTTGTCCTTGCCAGAAGATGATCTTTAAATTATGAAAAAATGTTGAAAACGGAAAGATAAGATGCTTACTCCATTTGGATGTTCTGTTTTGAAGCGCAGCTGAACGATTTCGTTTTTCTCCGAAGTCAAGTGAGGAAACTCATCAGCTGATAATTCGATAAAAGCATCCCCATTAAACTTGGCAGCATGTTCAATAGGTTTAACTATAAAAGGAAAAAGTGGCTGTGCTCTCATGTCATCATGCATTCCTATTCATATTACGTTTTTTGCCAAAAACCAAAAAAGCTATCAAAATAGAATGAGAGAGGGAGAAAGCGAGCTGATTCATTAGGCTTTACAGCTTCTTTACAAGTTTTGAAATAAAAAATCATTTTCTCACATATGTTACAGCGAGGTCCGTCGTAGAAGAGATTACAAACACATTCATAATGAGTTTCATTGAATTCCATGCATTTGCCATTCAATCCTTAAAAATTCTCACTTTCTTTTTTTTTGTTCAACACATTCATAATGCTCACCACAATCTGCTTGACGACATACGGCGCTGATACAACCAGATTCTGAAATGAGTAATTCATCTTTCATCCAAGTTCACAAGAACAAGTGCTTCCAGCTGGGTCATTCGCACGCAAATTCCATAATCAACTAACTTTGCGATTTTTCGTTTTCATCTTCACTCCCTCACTATAACATTCTCTCTCCCTCCTTCCCTCCCTCACCGAAGACAGCAGTCAGAATATTCCGACTACTTCTTTAACTACTTCGGAGTCTCCGGATCAAGAATTGATTTGCAGCAAATTCTTTACGACTAATCTCCCTAGTCCAAAAAATTAAGTAATTAAAGGAAATAGGGAGAGAAGTGTTTAGTTAAAGCCTGTTAAAGGACAGAGAGATCTTCTCAAAAGGGTATTAACTATGTAAATTATCCGCAATAAACAACGTTGGGATTTGTCAGGAAGAGGCGAAGTCTGCCTTTCACTCCTTCCCGCCTTTTCAATATTTCATTGTCGCCGCCTTTTTTTCTGTATATCATTGATCCAAATTAGTCAGAGAAAAAAGTTTTTGATAAATAAGCATTGGGTGGAGCTTGAAGCAGATGAGAGCCCAATTTGGACGAGGGAGGGCGGAGCGAACTAGGTAGAGAGATGGCTCAGAGGATGGAAAAGCTTTTGAGTCTGTCGGCCGATTGCTGACGACCGCGAGTTTAAAAAGTTTTCTTTCGTTCTCATTCGTTTTCTTACTCGTTTACTTACAATTCTATTATGTTCCAACAAATTTTTAAAAGTTTTAGAATCATGAAAATTGCTTTGGTGCTTATGGTTTGTTTCTCGGCTTGTCTAATGACATGCCAGGCTCAAGCTGCTCAGCAAGTTGAGAAGTAAGTTCTTTGTCTTCTCTACAGAATCTTCATAAACTCATCTGATCTCATATAGCATAAGCGTGTGGAGACGAAAAGACATAAAAAGAAGATCAAATATCTTGTGTTTTTGATTGTAAAGCGATATTTCCTCGTTTGTTCATCAGCAAGTTAATGAGTTGAGTAGAAAGTTCCATAAAAGGAACAGACAGACAGATCGAGCGAATCAGTCAGACCGACGGCCTTCCCCCCACCCCTCCTCTCCTAATGCATATTCACTTGAGCTTTTACGAGTAGCAAGCAGCAGCAGCAGTTTATGAAAAAAAAAAGAAACTTCCCAATTGAAGTGACATAATTGATACGGAAATCTCCTTCCATTATGTTTCTCCAAAATGTTTTTGCTACTTCCGCCATCATCATTTTGATGATCGAAATTGCGCCCAGCAATATGTTGGCAGCTCTCCTCCTTCTCCTCCTCCTCCTCCTGCCGCCACCACCACCACCACCATCACTGGCGCGATGTCCATGACTAGTCTTTCCAAGAAATATTTTACGCGAAACACGTATACACAAAAACCAAAAAATGCCTCATGAAATATTCAAATTATTTTAATTAAATTATTTCACAAACAAATGCCAAATATGGAGAAGAATGAGTTTGGAGAAGAAGAAGAAGAAGAAACAAAACTGCAACCTAAGTCTAAACCCAGTTCGCAACTTTTTTCGATCTCTTCCGCTTTCGTCAGTCTCTCTCTAAGTACTCTCTCTATCTCTATCTCTCTCTCTTTCTCATTATCTATCTCTATCTCTCTATCTCTTCTATTCATTTCTGAGAGAAGATGAAGGCAAAAACAAATTATTTGTAATTACAGATAATTTTCATAACTCGCTTAACAATTGGTGTTTGATTTTTCGGACCAAATAAGGAATATTCGTGTCCTCTTACATAATTAAGGAGAAGAAGCCGAAAATGACGACGAACTCCTCTTCTCTTCCTTACCCAAACAATTGGATAATTATTCCAAAAGCATTTTTTCTTTCTTCCCTCTTCTCATGCTTCTCTACCTCCCTCACACTCCCCTTTCTAAGAACTTAACATAAATACTCTATGAATGACGAGTACGGATAGAGAGAGAGATAGAGAGAGAGATGGAGAGCAAGAGAGAGAAAGAGAGAAAGCATAAGCTTTCCATACATTTAGTTTGAAATTAACAAATCCAACTATGGTCGAACGATGTCGCATACTTCAACGAGAAGCTCGTTGTTGTTCAGAAGGTGCAAAACAAACAATTATCTTTCTTCGAGACGTGATGGAAGTGATAAAGAAACCCAAGTTTTTAGTGCCAGAATGAAAGTTTTTAATCTTTCGTGCAGAGCAGAGAGGCCTCATTTCAGCTTTTGGAGGAGTTTTTTGAAAGAAAAATGAATTTCTCAACAACTTTTCAACATGTAGGAGGGACTCCAACATTAAGAGAGAGGGTGAGAGAGAGAGAACATGAAATCAAGACGAAAACATTCTCCTCTGTATGCAACGTCTTCCATTACACCTCAGCCCATCATTCTCATTTCAGGCGTTTCAACGATTTCTACAGTCTTCTAAGCAAATATCAACAACAGAAACGGTTCAATAATGATTATTACAATATGTTAAACCGCTACCAAGAACGACCAACAAAGTCATTTTCAAGCTCATTTGCATAATACAAGATAATCTCCTTTTACAGACGATTCACCAATGATTTCTATACGCTTCTCAACAAATACCAAGATGACGGAAAAATGGACAAGTTAGTCTTCATCCTTCTCTCTCCTTAGATCATAAAGACAATCTTTCCTTATCCTTACCATTTCAGACGATATGGTGAGCTTTACAATATGCTTGCTCGCTATCAAGGAGCTCCGACTTCATGAAAGCCTCATGTGGATTATCACGTGATGCTCTTCATAAAGCTTGCGTCTATCTTTAGTTTTCTTTAAAAAGACGTTTTCGTTCGCTCTCTCTCTCTCTCTATCTCTCTTTCTCTCTCTGTATCTCTCTCTCTCTCTTTATCTATGTCTGTCTGCCTCTTTCTGTCTCTCTCTCTATCTCTCTGATCCAACCCCCTTGTTACTTATTGTCTCATTCAAAAAACATATGAAAGGGAACATCCATGGCAGTGCTTCTTCTTCAAATTAAAAAAAATTCAAAGCCAAGGGGATTTTCTTATCGAATGTTATTATTTCATAGACGACAAATAAACTTTCATCTCAGTTTCCAAAAGTTCACGAATAAGCAGACAACTCTCACGAAAACAGAAGACAGAAACCTTCAAAAGACGAAAACTCGTGTTGAAAGAGAATACTTGATTGTATAAACAACTTTATTAGTTGCTCATCACTAATTGATGAGAAGTTCAATTATCTCTTTGCCGAAGACAACTTCTACCGAGATTTTCATTCTCCTCACCCAAACGTTGCTTCAGTCATGGATGCAACAAGTCTCCATACAATGCCCTTTCATCGACAGTTCTTTCTACCTCCGAAAGAACAAGAAAAAAAAGAAGAGAAACGTACTTGGACAAGGCTCTTCAGTGCCTATATCTATTGTTTCCGCCGTCGTGAATAATTCATTTGGTAATTCTCTTTCTAAGTCTGTCAATGTGAAATCTGGATCCGTCGGCAAAATTTCAACGGCTTCCTCATCTTGTATCGTTTCCGAAATTTCAGGCTCTATAAAACCATTTAATCGTTACAGCTTTCTGAGAGAGAAAGAAAAAACTTGCCAGTTTCAAAAGTTGTCGATGAAACGGCCAAAGATTCCTCGGTGGTCGTCGGTGTTTCAACAGTAGTTTCTACAACTTCTTCAGAGATTCTTTCATCGACCTCTTCATCTTCATCATAAAAGGAAACAGTAGGAGGATTTTCAGTTGTTGTGGACGTTGTTGTTTCTTCTTCTTCTACTTCATCATCTTCTTCTTCCCTCTGTCTTTCAACTTCATCTGGATTCTTATCAGCATCAGTAACCCAATTGTCGGCTTCTCTCTCTTCAGACTCTTCTGTATGTTCTTCGGAGACATTCGTCTCTTGTTCACCAATTGTATTCTCCTTTTCGTTGAACTCTGGAGGCTCAGTTCCTTGTTCGACATCGTCGACAATACCATTAAAGTCTCCTTCAGACTGATTCAACTCTTCACCATCCTTTTCAGTGTTCAGAGTTTCTGTTGTTTCCTCCGTAGTCAGCACAGCAGCAGTGGGGATATCACTGATTTCTTGCACCTCGTTGTCCATATCACGCATTGTTTCTACAATAGTTGTTGGATTCTCTGTTGTTGTCGTCGTTGTAGTTGTCGTTGTCGTTGTGCTAGAGGTAGTCGTCGTCGTCGTTGTGGTCGTTGTATAATCAAGAACTTCAGGCGTATTATCTTTTTGTGTTTCATAGAAATTATAAGTTTCTTCTGTTGTTGTCAACGGCACCACGTTTTCTTCGTCAACAGGAGGATCTGTGGCTTCACTCGAAGAAATTTCGGCTTCTTCGCCTAGATCCGGATGAGCAGGTTGGTCTTGTGCATCTGGATCAGTCACAACTTCCTGAAACGAATTGAAAGATTAAAGATGTTAGCATGAGCTAATGAGATTACGGCAAGTGAAGTGGGTTGAGAGGTAGTGACATCATCTACAACTTCAGTAGAGTCTTGAGTATAATCAATTGGAGTAAACACAGTGGTTGGAGGTGCATCACAGCTCGTCAAATCACCAGATTTATATGAGCTTGAGTCGCTGAATTCAATTTTCTTCGTATTGAGCACTATCTGTAAAGTAGAATAACAAAATGCAAATGAATAAACAACTGAGAGAATAATGAATGACCTGTCTAATACAGCCTCGGAAAGATTTCTCGGGAACAGAGTCAGGCGTGTTTACTCCAGGTGGTAGACCTCCAATGAACAAATCAGTGCCCGGCTCGAAAGTATTAGGAGATGTCTGAAAACTTAATTATGTTCCAAAAGAGGTTGATAGAAACAAACAGAATGCACGATGCGATGTCCATTAAGTATGAGATCTGTTAAGCCAGATTTCCTTACTAGCACCATTTCATATTCATTTCCTTCATTGATCGCAGAGCTTGTCAGCTGTTGTCGAACTGAAAATGCAAAACAAAAGTTATTTTTGAAAGATGTATAAATAGAATGTACTTTTATATTATTCTTTTTCATTAGCATAAACTATTCACAAGCGTTTTCCTTATAAAGACATAACGCTGATTAGTGTGTTTCTTGAGAATGAAAGTGACGCCACTTACCTTTAGGGCCATTCTCATAATTGTAGACGAGCACATTGTCAACTATGGAAAGACTCATATGATTAGCCGACTTTGGATTGTAAGTCGAAGCTAAGTACATTAGAATGTGCTCATCTGACACAGATTGAGGCGAAAATGTTAATTTCAACTGTAAATATAGGTGTAAAGTAAGTACAAACAACACACACTTCAACCTCAAAGTCCTCAACACTTTTAGGAGCTTCAATTGAGAAGAAAGAAGTATCGTGTAGGAAGGCTAAAGAATCGGGAGGATTCGTTTCCGTTTCACATCTGAATACGACGTCTCAATCATATTCCATTATCGTTTCACCTTAGTCCAGTGCTGTTTGCAGGACAAACACATTGCCACATATCATCTTCCTCCAGACATATTCCATGATGACAAAATTCTGAAAATTAATTAAAAACATGATGGAAATCAAGCCTAAATAACCATCGCGACAAGTCGACGAACGTAATTCACAATGATTTCCAACGAATCCAGTCGGACAAACGCATGTATAGCCCTATAACAAGCTACGAATGAAAGAACATATCAGGGGTAACGAAACTCTTCTTCTGTTTGAAACTCTACACCGAGCATTATTAGCACAAGGTTGTCTGAGTGTACAGGCATCATATCGAGCCATAGACACGATTCGTGTGCCATGTCCGAGATTTAAGCTTTCCCCAGAGACGACAACTTCAGAGATGATACCTACAACAGCTTAAGATAGATCAACGATTCAGATGAAGTTGTATGAAAACAGAAATGATGCTCACCGAAGATTAGAATTTTCAACATTTTGTTAAAGCAAATGCCGAAACTAAGCGGACACATACACACAGAAAGAAGAGAAGTCTTTTAACTTTTCACTCATTAATAAATAATAAAAGTTTATGAACTTTTTTTATGTGCTAAAAGCACTTTACATCCCTTTTAACTATGCTAATTCCAATATACTAATGTTGGCTGCCACGCTGGCCACGTAAAGCTCTATGACTTCCGACGACAACAAAACTCATTTTCAATTGTGCATACGCGGAGACCGGTTGTATCTAACTCTCAAAAAACTAATTACCTTCATATCTCTCGATTTCATCATAATTTTCTCGAGCTTCCTGATCGATTGTTAGTCCTCCAAGTATGAATTTACTGTTAGTACCAGGTCTTCTGACTATCGGCCCATGCGATTTTTCAACCGTTTCTCCGTTATTAATCCGAATGGAGGCTGCAGAAGATTGATGACGTGAAGATAAAACAGATTGTCTAACCTTTTGTATCATTATTTCGTACTTCTATTGTGTTCCACTTATCTAGTTCAATTGGCTCTGCTGAGACTAGTTCATCTGCAAAGGTATTCATTCAGCTCTATTAGTTCATTATGTTCCTAACCGCGCCCATATCCAATATCATATTGATAAACAAGATAATTATTTCTGAATTTGGTGTTATGCTCTAGAACGGGTGGTCGACGATCAATGTTATCATTCATTTGTGCTCCGACGTCACCTCTTCTACTAGTTGAGAATACAATTCCTTCAAATAATTATCATTTTCTGCACGACTATCTTCTCTCACCATTTTCTTTCGATGGCTTCATTGTCATTTGAACATCAAAATCTTCTATTTGAGGATCTGTCAAAGGATCTAACTCGAGAACTTCTTTTCCGGTAAAGATTGGCACAAAGTCTGAAATTACTGTTCTCTCTCGTCATCGAACCACCTCCGCTCATACCGTCAATTTCCAAACGAACTTCCGTTTGAGTGATGTTGCCTCTATGATCAACCAAACATGTGTAACTTCAAATAACATAGATTACATATTCGTCCCCATAGACTCTCATACGTTCCCTCATCTTCCTTTTCAAGCTTCGATATACTAAGCACCCCGTGTTGTACTACAGCCGTCTTTGATAATGGTTTGTCTTCATCCCTTGACCAAGTAGCATTCCGTGCCCAAGCCGGTGCTTTGCATGATAGATAAACCTCTTCACCGACAGATTTCTGAATCGGGACGGTTTTCTGTGGAGACGATTCTGAATAGCACTTCGTTAATACTTTCCCTAGGTTCATTCACATATAAGCACATCAAACGATGACGTTGAACATCACGCTAATCTCCACCCAGCATCAAGAGAACTCAGTTATGAACTTGGATATTATCAAATATTAATGAGAATGAAACCACGTCAACACAAACGAATGGTTAAGACAAAACTTTATGAAAAAATGGAGAAAAAATAAAACAGGACGGCAATATATGCACAGCACCATAAGTGGGAAAATCCGGGACTGACAAAGGGAGAGTGCCCAGACGGCTTTCTATCGAATAAAAATTTGAAGCTGCTTTATAAATCTATGAAAATGCTTAAATACCGTAATTTTTGTGGCAGTTTACTTAGGCTTTAACTTGAGTGTTAAATTGGTCGGATCCCAATTGGGGAATGCTTAGAGACCAAGTGAAATTGAGCCGCGAACAATCCGGGATTAGGAATAGGTTAGAAACATTCGGAAAAATCTTATGAAATGAAAAACTTGAAACTTCGCTAGAAAACGGAAAACACGCGCACACAACAAGATGATCGAACAGGTGGGTAAGACTCATTGGACAAACTATTTTTGCTTTCGTAAAACGATGTTAAAGAGATGATTGATTGAGAAAGATTTCGAAGATTATGAATATAAGGTATTGGTATGAATTACGAGTCAGACCGGGTTAGTTATGGGTGGAGAACCAGGATCCAAACAGCGAACGCTGCTGTTGCTGTTGTTGCTCATGGAGCAAAGACTTAGGAGCAGCGTGGCGCCGTTGGTGCCGGGCGTAACGTCCACGACGGGCATGCTTTCGCTTGCGTTTTGCGGCTCCGACGTTCAGGACTGTGCGTGTTTCCAATGGTCCTGCCTTGGTCTTGGCCATACAGCGGTAAGTTCCGGCATTATCTTCTGTGATATCAGTGAAGAGAAGGCGACCACCAGTAACCTGGAAAAAAGGGAATAATTCACGACATTGGAAGTAGTACACGTGATAGAAAAGGTTTTTGGGAAACAGTTAATTCGTAGAAGGGAGAAGATTCTCGGACGTGCGAGTCACTCAACGAACTATGTTGTCTAACAGAAGGAAAGTCTCATGTCAGTTCAAGAATTGAAAAGTATTAAACACGTGCAAAGGGGAACCCGTTCCACGCAAACACATAGACAGTTCAAAATCATTCCAGAAAAACAGAAGAAACTCAGAGCGCTTTTCACAAACTTACAGTTCGATTGCACACGGCATCGAACCATGTAATATAATCTCCCTAAAATATTAAAAGATCTGATAATCTTTCAAGCGTATTTGGCAAAGGTGGAATTCAAACACCCTCGGACACATGTCCTTAGGAGCATGAGCTCCGAGCTTTCCTATGTAGGCTGTCTTGCCCGATTGAGTGTAATGAGTAAGATAGAAACTGTACCAACCTGAGCATTACTTGGAAGTTCATCAGCTCCGTCCTTGAACCAGCTAATAGCGGCTGAAGGATCACCGGTTACCTGGAAATGCTTGGATCACACAGATCATATGATTCAGTTATTACCTTGCAGTCAAACCAAGCTCTCTCTCCAACATTAATATTCTCAGAAGAAACTTCGAGAAGAACTTGAATGATGGTATCAGGAACTGAAAAAACCGAGGGTATGGAGTATTGTAGAGTGATCGTTACCAAAGATTTGAGCGTGAACAAATCCTTCAACGACGCGGTCGTTGATGTGAACAGAGCAAACGTAGAGACCAGATGACTTATCATCGAAGTCCTTAATCTCAAGTTTGTTTCCGTTAGGTTGAGCATTAGCTGGAAGATCTCCATCGTCACGGCTCCATTCAACCTGAACAACAATGGTTTCAAACTTTAAATACTTTTTTAGATAGTACCCTTGATCCTGGGACGGAATAGACTGGGCAAACGAAAGAAGCATCAGAGTGTTCGTCGAACTTCATGACTTGAGCATCTGAAAACCATGAAGGTAATGATGTGAAACAGAGGGAAAATAAATGTTTCAGTCGATAGGTTATTTCTCGTATAGTCCTACTCCCGTTCTCTCTCTGTCTCTCTCTCTCTCTCTCTTTAACACAAGGTATCCGTACGCTGTTTGTTATCGAATCCAACGGTCACAGCAGTGTACGCGCTTCCGATAACCATTCCGTTATCATCTTCAACGTTGCATCTGTATACTCCGAAATCGTTAGTAGGATCAGCCTTGTTGATGGTCAAAGTGGCTTCTGTTCCAAGTTTGCGGACAATATTTCCTCCTCGTAAAAGAGCCCATTCGAAGTTTTCGCCATTCTTGGCTCCTAAACATATTAAATCGGCCAACGTATTTCTGCATCCATAAAAAAGAGCGTGCTAGCGAAAGCTAAGTTAGTATGACAACAGTAGTAGCAAGTCCTTCCTCATGACGATAACGATCGAGTTGAGGAAGTTTTTAACGAACACAGATATTAGTAGTTTAGTGATCACAACACACACACACACACACGCATACATATCGAATATTTGTAGTTAGGACAAGTTAGAATAAACAGCAAGCAACTTAACCGTAAACATGATTCTGTTCAACAATCAGCCAAGTCGCACTATGTTGTAGTTCATAGTTATTATACTCATCAGTACAGAAATATAAACCACGATCATCCAAGTCAACATACAGTAGGTGCAAGTGCTTTCCTCCTCCAATTTGCTCAATCTTCGTGAAGTTTCTAGTCAGAAACCATAAAACTCTCGACCTGTCATCTGGAAGCAACGTTGAACGATAAGGACAACGACAGCAAGCTTATAAGACAGCATGAAAACGGACAAGAACAGCAAGTGCCAGCTTATAGCGAAATTGAAGCTGCTTAACACACTAACCTTCGACGGAACAACGGAGAACGATAGAGTCTCCTTGACTGATCACACGAACGCGTGGAGGATCAACTTCTACTTTAGCATCATCTAAGCCTGAGGAGGCCGAGTGGACAGTAACTGAAGCAGTAGCGATCAACTCATCGTGACGATAACCACGGCATTCATATTCTCCGGCATAAGAGTTCTAAGAAAAGAGTTACTCTAAGAATATGAATGGAAACAACTTTGAAGTTAGGGAAGTGTAAAAGGCCAGGTTCATTGTGCTCTTCAACATCGGTTGGGAGTTGGTCTTCGACCTTAACCCATTCCAGACGATCCACAAGAGATGATCCAGTAGCTGTGCAAATGAGTTCGGAAGGCTCGCCTTGTTCGAACCATTGTGTTGATCCTCCCAAAATAGAGACAGTAGCGACACGAGATGGCTCAACAACTGAAAAAGGAATATTTGAAAAAGCTTTTTTACTTTATCACCTTCGATGTAGATATCCTTGGTTGCAGTAGCGTGGCTGTTGGATCCCTTGCAAGTGTAGAGACCAGCGTTTCCAAGTCCGATGGCTGGATGGCGGATGAATTGTTCAGAAATAGTAACTGGCTTGTAATCATCTGGTAAGTCTCCACGCTCTGGTCCTGGATCATGAAGCCATTCAACTTCTGGGTCAGGCTCGCCAAAGGCTTCACACTTAACAAGAAGTGGTTCACCAACGGTGAGAACAAGTCTTGGTCCAGCAGGAGTGGTTTTCACAGTCAAAGAAGGTCCGATGTTGACAACTCCGTGATCGGATGCCTGGAAAATTCAAGTTCAAGAATTTTTCTCGTGAAGCTAGAGTTATTACCACTCCAACAGGGTTTGTTGCAGTACAGGTATAATCTCCATTGAGCTCTGTACGACCGTGGGCAAAGTCAAGAATGTTGCCCTCTAATGGAGTAACATCGTGTGGGAGTGGAGAGCCGTTTGGTCCGGTCCAGACAACCTAAAACTATTTGTGAAACTTTGTTAAAATTAGTTTTAACCTTAGGTGTTGGTACTCCAGTAACGATACATTTGAATTGATGACGATCTCCAGGTCTTCCGTTCCAGGTGCGTGGCTCGACACGAGCAGTTGGTGGTTGTTCATCTGTAAATGGGTATTAGTACTGGCTTCATTAGAAATATGATCAGTGCGATTTGGTAAAGGAAAAGTTAAAGGAAAAAATGTGAAAGGACAGCTACCATCTGTAACTTCTAATTTAACAGGTTCAGCTACGCCACGTCCAAATTCATTTGTAGCCGAGCACACATAAGAACCAACGTGCTCGTCAGATGTAGCGTCAAAAACTATATCGTTTCCATCTTGACGAACTCCGTTAGGCAATGGTGTGGTCTCGTCTCCAAATGTCCAAGCAACACGTGCTGGCGTAGATGAGTGAGCAACACAAACAAAACGAGCCGGAGTTCCACGACGAACCGTTTGCAGAGGTGGCGTGGCAACAGGGCGAGGAGGTTGTCCGGCTATAAACATGGTGAACGCTTCAATGATACAACTCTCGAAGCCGAAACAGAACACGACTGGACGTCAACATTGAAAGTTACATAACTGACACAATCCCATCAGAACGTTAGTTATCAGACATATATCCACATAGAATTAATATTCACAGCAAACATACTAGATTCAACATCAAGTCGGCTGATAGGAGTTTCCTTTGGAGATCCGCCGGAAGCTGGGTGATAGAGACAAATGTAATCTCCCTCATCAGCGGGCTGAGCATTTGGAATCGAGAGAACTCCGTCGTGCTCAGAGGAGCCAAATGGAAGAGGTGTTCCATCAACTCGCTTGAAGCTGAGCTTAGCAGTTGGGTTTCCTTCGACCCAGCATTTGATGGTAACATCATCTCCGGTTGGGACTTTTTGGTGAGGTGGTGAAATTTGTGGTCCTTCGTCGCCTAGAACGGTGTGTCACAGCAAAGTATTAATTAAAGTAAAAACACGGCAAGTCTATGGTGGAAAGTTGTGGAAAACCCACAAAATCTGATTGATAACAATTTTGAAGAAAAATAGGAAAAAGCGAAAGATGTGCGCAGTGATTTTTGGTAATATTGCTCAGATGAAACCCAAACACAGAATAGAAAAGCCGTCGTGGATAGATTACATTCAAACTCACTCATAGTAACCACTGGTGACTTCAGTACAGGCGTAACGTGAACAGTGGCAGGTTCAGAATCAACTGGTTCTCCAGTTGTTGGGTCATTAACGGAACAAATGTAATCTCCAGCGTCAGTGATCTCAGCATTGTGGACAGAAAGATGTCCCTGGCGCTCGTCGGCGAGATCGTTGACAGTTCCTTCTGTTTTACGCCAAGTAAGTTCAAGATCGGAACGACCTGGGACCCAACAACGGATACGGAAAGGTGATCCTTCAGGAATGCTTTGCTCAGAGGGATCAACAAGTGGTTTGATTGCTGAAAGTGCATGCTTGCGATAGGAAAGGTTCAAAGGGTGACAAAAGGGGGAAAGATAGGTTGTGCTCACAAACGAATAAGGGAATACTTACGTCCTCTGACATTAATTCGGGCTGGTGGAGCCTCAACTGGTTGACGAGTATTAGGATCAATAGCAGTACAAACGTAATTTCCTTCATCTGCCTTCATGGTGCGGCTGATAGTGAGTGTACCATCGCGTTCGGATGCACCTTGTTGAAGTGGTTGACGTCGCTGAACATTAAGAATATAGCTGCATGACAGGACACTCTCAATACCTCCTTAGACCATCTAACTTGAACATCTGGATTTCCAGGGACCCAACATCTAACGTGAGCTGGTTCTCCTTCATCAACAGTTTGTTCTTGTGGGTCAACCTGTGGTACAATAGGAGCTCCCTTCTTGACATTAAGAGTAGCTGGTGGAGCTTGGCTTGGAGCTCCAGTTCTGGGATCGGTGGCAGTACAGATGTAACGTCCAGCATCACTCATTTTAACATTGTTCAATCTCAAATATCCATCACGCTCCAAAGTTCCTTCAGGCAGAGCTGAACACAGGTCATTTAGGCTTGCAAGGAATCGGCTACATACCTTCTCCGTTTTCCTTAGTCCAGCGGAGCTGAGCATGAGGGTTTCCTGGAACCCAGCAGCGATATTGAGCTGGATCTCCTTCATTGACAGTCTGCTCAGGGGGATCAACTTGAGGTAGTTGAGGAGGAGCTGAAAGATCGTGATTAAAATTGTCTCTGGATCACTCTCACCATCTGGTTTGCGTAAGTTCAATGTGACAGGGTCAGAATCCTGTGGCTTTCCATCTCTAGGGTCAGTGGCTGTACAGATGTATTGACCAACTTCCTGGAACAGACTATATCTCAAAAAAGAAGAAAGGATGAACTAACGTTTTGGCTGGTGCTTGGAATATGAAGAATTCCTTGCTGTTCTTGAACTCCGTGTGGTAGGGGTTGGTGTCCTACTCTAGTCCACTTAAGTTCAACATCGCTATTTCCAGGAACCCAACAACGGAATCTAGCTGGCTCTCCCTCATTAACAGTTTGTTCGATTGGATCAACTTTAGGCTTTTGGGTAGCTGTAAAATGTGTGGGTGAGATGTTCGCATGGGAGTATTTGAATACAACCGCTTCCCACAATCGAAGCGTAATAAATGAATATGACGCTGCGTTTGAATTTTATGATGGCGCGCATTTAACCTAATATATATTAGAAAAACTCACGTCTAATAACTTCCAATCTGGCGTTTGGTGATTGACCAATTCCGTAATGATTGATAGCAGTACAAATGTAGTTACCAGCGTCCTTAAGCATAGCTCTTGGGATTTTCAAGGCATTTCCGGTCTGGTAAACTCCATGAGGTAAAGGTCCTCCGATGTGTTCCTGATTAGATGATAAGAAAATGCCCACTTGTTGAATTTACCTTATGGAAAGTAATCTGGCAATCTGGTATTCCTGGAACCCAGCATCTGAAAGAAGCGGCATCTCCTTCAATAACAGTCTGGTGGAGAGGATCGATCACTGGCTGAGGAGGGCGTCCACCTAAAACTTGTAACGAATAAGAACTGTTACATATACAAAGTGTCAAAGGCTAATAATGATTCTGAATAAGCTTGTGGTCTCCTGAGAGTAGCGTGATGAAACAGAAAAAGCCTCTTCCTATTGAAGGAGCTGATGTTTGTTAAAGTGATTACAAATGGTTGACATAGGTTTCGAACTGAATGTTTTTGATTATGGGAAAGCACAAAAAGCATTTTGAACTGAGAAGCGGCCAAATACCAATCAAATGTTCCCAAGAAGGGTTTTGACCAGGAAACAGATAGTTAAACTTGAATATGGAATAGATTAAAAGCATACTAGGTGATTGACTAATGGTAAGTATAGCGTCATCTGTTGCGTAAGAGTGTATAGTGGTGGCTATACACCTATACTGTCCTTCGTCCTCAAGTTGAACATCATCCAAAGAGAGATATCCTTCGTCTGTGTAAGCTTTAGATGGTAAAGAAGCGTATCCCACTCGGGTCCATTCCAGGCGGACGTTTTCAGGCTAGAATAGAAAACCAACCAATGTTCTCTTCATCTCATTCATTGAAAAAAGCTTTGCTGATGTTAAAATAGCAGAAAGATTGATTTCAAAATTCAAAAACTAAAATCGAATGTGTGTGATTTGAAACCAATCTTTCATTAAGCTTTTTGTTAAAGACTATGCTTACTATGTGGCCGACAATTTGACAGATCCATTGTGCTTTCTGCCCGACTCCTAATACTTGGCGTTTAGGATCCAAAATGCGTACTCGCAGTGCTAAATGTTAATGGATTAGAAAACTAAGCAGAATTATTAATTTTTGAGCGGTTAGGTGAACGCTTGTCGTTCTCATTAATAGAACAGATTGAACATAGAACATGCGAGATTCTTTTGCTCTGTGGAGTTTGGTTTGTCATTTATTGTTTTGTTTCTACTCAGAAGAAAAACCAAAATGCTTGTGTTCGTGTGTGTGTGTGTGTGGTGTGCTTCGTTTTTCTGGAAGTTGCAATGTTGAGCATGTGCTTTCATCTGAAAACGAAGGTGACAATCTTGTAAACGACGATGACGAAATGACGCTGACAAACGAAGTTCAGAAGACGAGAGGACGAAATCGAGGAACGTGAGGTTCGCCAAGTTTGCCAGTGGAAAGGAAGCTAAGCGAACATAATTTTATTAATGGTAACATAAAAGACAATTGTTGTATAAAACGTCTGAATTAGATTGATCGTGAGCATCTGATGTCAAATGAATTGGTTAATGTTGAAAATGACATGAAAGATTAAATGTCGAGAGTTTCAAATTAAGCGTAATCAAATGGATCAGGTGATGCAAGTGAATTAAGAAGAAAGCTTCTTACATGAGCTTTAGCTTCGATGGATAGAGAGAGGCAACCTATTTGATCATCTTAATAAAGATGATCATCACTAGGACTATATATGAAGCAAAGGGATCAGAATGTGAAGATTGAAAGCTTGTTTGTTGCGCAAAATCCTTGAGAAAAGAATAAGCAAGATGTTAGAAAGGTTGTCTTTCTTTTGATTTTTTTGAAGATACAAACGAAGCTAGCAGAAACATAAAAAGTGAAAACTAAGAATAATACGTGACAAAGTAAATGCAGAGGAACACAAATGTGGTTCCATCCAGGGCAAATAGCTTTTGAGATAATTATGAATAAAGTTGTCAAGAATAAAATGAATGTGAAGCTTAATTCAAATGACACTGACGTCATCATCAATCTGTGACAAGCTGCTCAGTAGTTATGAAGTTCGTACGTGATTATTGACTTCAAATTGGAACGGTAAGTTACACAGATAGACAAGAGTTATTATGACGTACGACATGTCAAAATGAGACAGTTTGAAGGACAATCGAACGATGACGACGACGATGACGGTTTGAATTTTGGTGTTAAGTAATCAGACACATCTATTGTTGATAGAAGCGTGATCGAACGCGTATGCGACGTCGGCGATGACGGCGTGGTGCTTCACCTTCTGGTGGAGATGGAACGTAAGTACGATCATTGTTGGTGACAGATCCAATTGGTTCGCAAATGCGACCAGCTTCCTTATTAGATCTAGTGTATCCTGGAGCACATCTGAAACAGTTATCGTGCAGCATAACAAACGGTTTGCTGGAACTTACTCGTTACAGAGTCTTCCAGAAAGTCCAGCTGGGCAGTTACGGCAGGCAACTTGTCCTTGTTGATCGAGGAAACAATCAGAAGTACCCCTGTAGTCGAAAAGATCTGGTTATGAAACATCTAGTAAAACATACGGGCATGGACATGGAGTGCAGTCATATGGAGTACCCTTAGTGGCATCTCCATAGAATCCCTTCTTACAACGTTCACAATGAGTTCCCTCAGTGTTGTGTTCGCAGAGCTGAAAATTTGATAATTATATCGGAGATCTATAGTTTCAAAATTACCAAGCATCTTCCAAAGGAGTCACATCCTCTTGGAGAGTGATTATTGCATTGGCATGGTGGGCGAGTTGCGGCGGGTTGGCAATCATGAGGAGTTCCACGACGGGCATCTCCAACGAATCCAGGCTTGCAACGTTCGCATTGATCTCCTTCAGTATTGTGTTGACAATCGACGCAGAATCCATATTCCTAATATTGAAACTAATGTTTGTTTATTCAGGAATCACAATACCTTATCGCAAGTACTGGCATGTCCGTGGCATTCACATTTCTCACAGAGACCGAGGTATAATCCACCTCCGGTTCTGGAATATCCAGGAGCACAGTCTTCACAAGATGTTCCTACATATCCTGGTGGACATTGACACTGCTCAACTTCAAGGGCAGTTTGTCCTCCACGACCGTAAGGCTCGGCGAATTCGAGAGAAACGTGGATCAGGGAAGATTGTGAGCAATCATCAATGTATGTGGCCTGAAGATGAGGAATGATTGTGGTACATTGATTCACGAAACCTTAATGAGGAGAGTATCCAGATCAGCAAGAGCCATAAGGAGATGTTCACGGGTGGCTTGTTGACCGTCAACGCGTTGCCATTTATCTTCGAACACCTTGATTTCGATGGTGTTATCACGATCTGCATGGGTAGGTTCGCGATGAGTATATTGGAGGCTAATATCATTTCCCTGAAAATTCAAAATTAGAACACTATACGCAGATAATTATCATACTCTGAGGATGATATGAGGATCACGGTTAGTGTTTCCTTCTCCAGAGTATCTGAAAGTGAACTTGAGAGTTCCTCCGTAAGCGGTGACTTTGTTTCCGAGGAATTTCTCAGGCATTTTCCAGTATAAGGTCTGTCCGTTAGCCTCATGGAAGGAGCTGAATTCGATAGCAGAGCCCGAAACATATCCTGGAGTTTGAGGAGAGAAGGGAGAACGAGAGTCAGAAGTAGATAGAGAAAGTTGATCTCTGTCTCCGCGTCTGTAGTCGACTTCAACGTTGGTTCTAGAGAACGAAGAAGATTGACATTGCTGGGTAACTCCAGAACAGAAGCAAGGAATACATCCTTGTGGATTGGATGGAGCCATGTAGAAGCTGTTTGCAGCACACTGGTCACAGTTAGGTCCTAAAAATAATCTTGAGAATGTTCAATACTATAAACTGTCCGTACCTTGAGCATAAGTCTTACATTGACAACGTCCACCATAGTTAGCAACAGGAGAAGAGGCTCCGACTCCAGTACATTGGGCTTGACGTTGTTGCATTGGAACGCATGTTCCCAAATATGGACCATGTCCTGATCTCTCGTATCCGGGAGCGCAATCTTCACAAGATGTTCCAATGTATCCAGGTGGGCAAGTACACTGCTCGACTTCAAGAGCATGTCCGTCTTCGGTTGGGCGATCTACAGCGATTTCCCATGAGACATCTCCCAGGCTAAAAATGCTATTAAGTTTCGGGTTTCATAGGTAAACTAACCTGGAAGAATGTTGAGTATCACAGTGGCTAGCACGGATGAGGAAAGCATCCAAATCAGCGAGAACCATGAGTAAATCTTCACGAGTAGCTGGAGCTCCATTGAGTTGCTCGTAGCTGGTCTACAGGTTCAAACGTTTAGTTAGCAAATTCTGCCACTACCAACCTCATAAGTTTCAACAGTAATTCTGACTGGGCTATCGCTACGGAGTACATCTTCTTGATTTCTAACGCGGTGAACAAGGATATTTTGATTTCCCTTCAAGTGCAATCAATAAAGGTCGTTTGCTTCAATCAAATAATCACCTTGAGTACAACCATTGGTTCACGGTTCAATGATCCGCTGCCGCCGTATTCTACTTCAAACTCCATCTTGCCACCATAAGCAGTAACCTTATCTCCGAGGAAACGTTGAGGCAGACGCCAATATTTAGTTCCTTCTGGTTGTCCTCCAAGAGTCAAATAACCATGCTTGTGGTATTCGAAGTTGGATTGGTGATCAACTTGTCGTTCTTCCATGTCAGAAATGGTAACACCCTCGGGTTCACCAGCGAACATGAGGCGATCCTATAATGAAGTCATTTTACAAAAAGCTCATCTAATTTTAAATTTTGAATCAAGTTGTCATTATATCAATTGATTCTTCAAACTAAATGAAGCCACATGAATACACAAATGACCACAACAATTAGACAGTTAGGACAGAAAACATATACTCACACAAGCAGCATCCTGAAAATAAACAGACGTATGGACAACACAATACAAAATATAGAAAACAACATTTACATATAGTTAGTTTATTTTACTGTTAAGCGAATTACCTTGGTTCTGTAGAAGTTGCTAGATCTGCATTGATCAGTAACTCCGAAGCAGAAGCATTTCAAACATCCTTGTGGAGATTTCTCAGACAAATGGAAAGATCCTGGACGGCATTCATCGCAGTTGGGTCCAGAAACCAATGGCTAAACAGTAACAGTTAGTTAAAAAATATAATTTTACAATCCATACTTTGCATTCGCAACGTCCACTTTGGTCTGGGTAAGGTGAAACAGCTCCTCTGGTATCACAGATAGGAGCTGGTGGTGGTCGTGGTGGAAGAGTTGGGTTTGGATTGTTAACAATTCTAACGATACAGTCAGGGGTAGCGAGAACACGTCCCTTAACATTGATAGCTTCACAAGTATAAGCTCCTTGATCAGCAGGCCTGAAAAGAAAATTTAATATTGAACAGTTCCCTCATTTGTACTATTTGATTGTAACGGTATCTATTTCTATTTTCGTAATAGAAGTTCAACCAGTAAGAAATCAATTGAATTCAATTATATATCGAGTCTCTATCGATGACATCGTTTCATCGCTTTGCCCATAAACTAATTGAAACGGTCGTTCGCTGTCTGGCTTTACCCGATTTTTCAATTGACAAAAAAGTGATAATGGCCTCGTAAGAATAGATTGATGATCATTACAGCCATTTCAATTGAATAAAGTCATCGCAAACATAACTTAGTACCGTCACTTATAGAATTATTCAATGGTTAAAGCAATAACGACCAAATTAGGAATAAGATTACTTACTGAGCGTTGTTCACTGTGAGGGTACCGTATCCTCCTTCAGAAGATTGAAGACAACGTGGTGGTTCGCAAACTGGTCCCCAGTTCAAACGCCAATTGATGTAAGGCTCTGGAACTCCAACAGCCTAGAATATTCATTTCAATATAATGTGAATTAGAATGTTTTTCAATGCATACCTTACAAGTCAAACGGAAGGTATCACCCATTGGGACTTGCTTGTTAGTCTCAGGTGGCTCAACAACAGTTGGTTGAACACATCCGACCTTAAAAAAATGATATAAAAATCCGTAATGAGTTTTTGCTCACTTCGTCACTTCCATCGCGACAGTCATTGGTTCCATCACAGTGGAAAGATGTGGGAACACATTGACGACGATCGGCACATTGGAATTCAGTAGCCTTGCACATTTCTCCGGGTTGTTGTCCTCCTTTAATGAAATAAATAAAATCTGGCTCTCAAATATTATATTTGAAAGCACAGCCAATCAACCCAGTAATTGTTAAGTTAAATGACTGTAAGTTCACAATTGCGGTCTACTTGTGTTCACGTATGCTAATGAGCTCACGAGTATGCTAATTTCAAATACGGATCAAGGGTATAACCCATGATTACTTTTCGAGTTCATTCAGTAAGGTAAACTGTTCAGAACGTTCGTCTAATTGGATTGAGATTATCTTATCGTTAACAACAACTGTTTCAAACAGTTTATCAACTCTCCCTTGCAGTACACATGAACTAATTTCTTCAAACAGTCCCTGATTCAAAAGAAATTTCTTTCACGTTTGATAGACCATTTATCTGTTCGTTTTCGTGTTTATGCCATACGAAATGTCCAACAATCTCTCCACTCTCCTTTAGTTAGACGTCGACCACACCCAAAAGCATTTAAAACATTAAATAGCAACATATCAGATGTCATCTTAATTGATGCTTCTTACAATTTTTACAGAACATTCCACATACACAAATTAGCAACATTTCCATGTTGTTTGAGATGATATGGAGATGATAGGTTCATTTTCCGTCACCCTTCTCACTCTCTCCCTCCTTCTATGTCTCTCTCTCTCTCTATCTTTCCTTCGCTTAAAAATCTTTCTCTTTTTCTCAATGAAAATTTTACAACAAAACTTCCGAAAAGCATTTTGACCCCTTTTTTCTACGCAAAATAATTTTCGGGTAGAAGGTTTGTAAAAAAGCCATCGGCAGGAAACATCGTGGGTTTTCTGCCAAGCTAATTTCAAATGATTACAATCGTGCTTTTTCAAACTGCCACCATTCTAAGAATCTCAATGCGAACGTACCGCAGTTCAATTCATCAGAACCATCTCCACAATCATCATCTCCGTCGCATAACCACATCTTTTGTACACAACGTTGGTTGGCACACTTGAATTCATTTGGTTCACAGGAACGAAGAGCAGGGCAGTTGGCTTCATCGGAGCGATCACGGCAATCTGGCTCTCCATCACAAACATATTCAGCCTTGACACATTCGTTGTTTCCGCAAGCCTTCTCATCAGCCATACAAGCACCGTTGTTGGTTGGGAGAACTCCTTGAAGGTCTTGTGGTCCATCTGAAGAAGCATTATTTTGATTAAGATGTTAATGTTTATGTTCAAGTACATGATTGGACGTTAAGAGAAGCATGAGCCTCAATGGTTTGCCCATTATGGGTAGCGGTACAGACGTAACGACCAGAATCAGCCAAAGAAACTGGATTGATAGTCAAACGACCACCAGATTCATGAGCATGAGGAGGTAAAGAATCTCCGAGACGAGTCCATCTAAACAGAAATATATTAATTGTATCTGTTTGATGTTGTTGTTACTACCTGACAGATGGATAAACAGAATTATCAGCAGTACGAGCTCTGCAGTCGAAAGTTACATCACGTCCATCGCGGACGCTAGCTTCAGTGGGATAGATGGTGATTTGTACATCTATAAAAGAAAATAATTTATGAGAGGTTACGACAGGTTCATACTTACCGTTTGCACCATCTTCATCGATATCTTGGTCTGAAAATAAAAAAAGAATTATTGAAGTTATTGATTTGATGAGATTTTCTGTTTCTATCAAGAGGCTTGTTCCCTTCTGAACCCTTTGCGTTATCCTTTTTTAGTCAATTAAAGATCAATGAAATGAAGTTGATTGAAATTCACATCTGATAACAGCTAGTCTGCTCATTCATACAGAACGAAAGAAAAGAACCATTTTTCGTCATTATTATCTTCTTTCTTTGTTACTATTATCATGATCATAATCATTGAAGATGATGAGACAGAAGAAGATGAGAGGAGAAAGAGGATATCCCAGACAAAAACCTTTTTGAATCATTTACCTCAATCCTCTTTCTTATCCCATAGTCTTATCTATTTCGCTCTTCAGATTTTTCGGAACATCACTCCATATCAGATGGTACATAACAGATCAATTAGCCAAATATGGTATATATCCCCTACCACAATTACTTTACTATCTGTCTGTATGGGGTCATCTCTCCTCTCCTTTAATACAAAACGAAAACTTGTTCAATAATTGTCCTCTTCGTGTATTGCGAGAGATGATATTTTGCAACCAGCTGTATCTTTCCCCCATCATTCTTTTTTTGTCATCATCTTAATCCATAATGACCCCGAATGATAAAAACTGTCAGAGAGTGACCAAAACAAAAACAAGTACATCATTACCATACAAGGCGTTCTCATAGATAAAATGAGAACTTTATGATGCCTGAGGCTATCTATCATCTGAACAAAGCTTCGAGCTTCTGCCTTCCTCTATTAATCTTCTTCTTCTCCTTTCATGGACAGCACTCTCTGCGCTTAATTTATGACTTCAGGTGTCATATTTGTTCATCATTCATACATGAATAAAAGAGAAGAAAGAAGAACTTCTACTATGTATGAAGTTCTGACGATGGGGTGGTCGTTTCCATGTCTAGAAACACAACAGCCATCATCTCGCTTCATTTCCATAATGTTTCAAAACCGCAATTGATGGGAAAAATTATTCAAATTCGCCCAAAAATCTAAGATTCGCTCTGATATCTGGTTTGAAACAATTTGATAAATTGAGAAGGGCGCGGTCAACTAAGGAAACAATAGCCATCAGGTGGAAAGCGCGATAGATGATCAACGGCAAGAAACAAAAGGCATCTTGCAATATGTTTCAGAACATACAGTAGAAGAGCCAATCATGAAAGTGAGACGTGGTGATAATAATAATATTAATAATAACATTATCCCCACACAAATGACCACCAAAAAAGGGGAGAAAGGGGAAAGAGAGAGAGAAAGGGGGGGGGGATGAAGAAGAAAAAGAGAAAAAAATGGAGAAAAAGCTAATTGTCGGAGATAAATTAGCTGGTTTCGCAGTTGTTCAAAAGGGAATTTTTTTACATTTCAACGAATACAGTACCGGACATTAATCAACATATTTATATCCCTTTTTTCAATATTGCTTTTCTCATTTCAAATGATAAAAAGCTAAAAAAGTGTTGATTGATATTTCAGTTTAGCGTAATGTTGATCATCAACTCGCAAAAGAAGAAGAAAAAGTCAACCATTTTCTTCCTCCAATCAAATTCTTTCTTATTAACCCAAACGAAACGAAAAGTTATTGAAGACCACTCGAGGCGAATGCCATGTAGCCCTGAGTTGCAGCCAAAGTGATATGAACAGGTTTATGATTTCTTATGATTTCATAGTAAACCATAGATGGCAAACGGAACAGAGAGAGAGAGAGAGAGAGAGAGAGAGAAAGGGAGTTGTGCGAATGAGCTGCCAGAACGAGATAGAAATAGAACGTATTGTAATGAAAACAGACGTTGATGATACTTTACTATGCAAACCCCCATATTCCAACTTTAAGTTGGGGAAAGTCTTTTTCAAACTTACAGGTTTGTCGATGTTTCCGTTTGGCTGCAAGTGTAGTCGCTAATAGAATAGCGACTACAAGCAGTCGGAACTGCCCCCCAAGCATTCTAAATTATGAAAGAATGATGAACAGAGACATTATTGAAACGACCGAAATAGTACGAATAGCAGGATTGAAAGTTGTGAGGATATAGTGACAGCGAGAAAAAAAAGAATGATATCAACCATCAAATGATAGATGAAAATGACAAAAAAAGAAGTCAAAAAGACAGATGTTGTTGGGATTTTGTTGAATGCGAAAGATCACAGGAGAGAAATAAAAAAAAAAAAGAAGAAAAATCTTCTCAATGAGCTGAAAGTAGAGGTCGAATTGCATGATATATTAAAAAACATTTCAAATCAACAGCGTCTGCTGCGAGATCAGTCCGTATAGAAGGAACGACAAGAGTGAGCGTAAAGAAGAGTAATTAGTTGATTTTGTAAAATTGATAATCGATTTGTTTACAATTAAATAGCAGATGAAGTTGTGAATAAAGGTAAGATAAGCTTTTGTCTACTGCGAACTGGTGAGAAAAGCGTTTTGTGAAGAGAAAGAAAAAACAAGTGAGAAAGGATGAAAGAGAGGAAGAATATGAAATGAAGTACTGTTTAGGTTTAAAAGTGTGGCTACGGTGATAAATTTCGATAAACAGAGGACGATGATTGTCGGAATGCGATATTAGGGCCTTGAACGGAAAAGGCGACGGTCGACAGAAGAATGTGGGGAGAGACAGATGAGAGAAACAAATGAAAAGAGATTGTAGACGATCATGGGCGACGTTGTGAAAGAGAATGCTGTCATCTGATGTAAGAAATGGAAGAAGTAAAGAAGAGAAACTTTTAAGAATGAGAGAGACGGAGAGAGAAAGAGAGAAGAGACAAAGAGAGGGAAGAAAACAAGAAAGTCCATTGATAGTCTCAGACAGTTATGGATTAAGAGAGAACGCAAAACTCAACAAAGAGAGAGAGTGGAAAAAAAGAAAGAGAAAGAGAGGAAGAAGGGGTTGTCCATTATCAAAAGATGAAACATATCCACTTAATGATATCTCTTTATATGAACATATCAAACCCTCTTCTAATGAAACTTTAATTAAGTTAATTGACAGATCGAAGACATATCTCATACGAAAGAACCTTATTGGGAAAAAGAGGATTGTCTACCGTTTTAAAAAAAAAATTCAATTCGAATTGAATGATTGATAAACAACATTGATAAAGAAGGAATTTGAGAGAAGTTTTTCCAAAAACTTTCTTTCAACACTCTACATTGATGTCCTTATGGGTAAGACGTCTACCGTCCTCTCCCTCCCCCTTCCCTTCATTCTCCTCACAATACAAATGTGTGATAATGAAGGAAATCATAATTAAATGATCAGAATTTTAATATAAATTAGAATGAAGATAGATTGTATCCGTTAATGACAAATATGGAATTCTTTTATCTTTTCTATCAATTCGTCAGATATAACGAAAAATAGGAGAAGAAAAAGAAAAATGCAATGCTTTGACCCAAAACTAAGCTGATACTTCTATTGATGAAACATAAATTATGGCTTAATTTTTATAAATTTTTAGCCTTAAATCGAAAATAACCATAGCGTAAAGCGATAAGATTGATTGATCTGATAAATAAATGTGTTAAAAAGAGGTTGGGACAGACGATTGCGAAGACCGGAAACTATCATGAATAATCTCATCCAAAACGTATTTCGCATTTAAAATCACCAAACACCAGCTTCAGCTTAATGCCTCAAGGCAATAGCAGGAATGATTGTACACGAACTGTTGCAGGAAATATGAGAGATGAGCGAGTGAGCGCTAAGTGCAGATACCGATGAAGCTCAAGAGAGCAACTAACAGAAACGATTATCAACCAGCATAGACTATGCAAATTGAAAAAAAAGTTTAAGAGAATAGGAGAGAGAAAGATAGAGAAAGTGGTAAAAAAGATGAGAATATCACTCGCTGCAAAGCTTGATGACACTCATTCAGGCGACTTTTTTTTGCGAGTCTCTATTTCTCACAACCTCTTCAAACTTCGATAAAAAGAAGAATCAGATGAAGAAATGGAGAACGTAAGCGAGAGAAGAACAAAATGAGCATTCAGCTGTTCAACAAACAATCTCCAACATGTAAATTCGGGTTATTTCAAACAAAATTCACAAAAGACGTGTCCTAACAAAGACCAAGTTGCTTCGAACAAGTCTTCAAAACTCATACCTAATATGGAAGAGTTATTTTTTAGGAAACAAGTGTTAGAGAAAGCTTTAGTAGTTATAGGCGGAGCTCGTTCTTTACCTTAAGAGTCAATACATTGCTCGAAACGAGAAGAAAAGATACTTTTTCTTTTCTTTTTTTCACCACCCACATTTCAAAGTTGTCAGGAATATGACTCAGAAAAGAAATATTTTATGTTTTCATTTCTCAGATTAGTCATTATAGGAGAACCTTATCTTACCTAACCTGGAAAAGTAGAAACAGTCAGCATTCTCTTTCTTTCTCTCTCTATCTCTCACTCTCTCATAATAGCAGAGAATGACAAGTTTTCAATAACTCAAGGCAGTCTAGAATACGATCACAACAGACAACGAATACTTTCTTATAAGTATATACAAGCTTCGATGTCATGTAGAAAACTGAAGAAATCATTTTCCGAACCAGTATGGTTCTCTTCATATCACGTAGACAGAAAATAGTCATTGAGCTTAAAGAAAAAGTAATGAGAGGGAGTGAAGACTGAGAGAGAGAAGAAGAGAAAGAAAAAAAGAAGTCACACAGCAGCTGCGCCATGAGCGTTTTGAAGAGAAAAAAGTGATAGATTGAGCATATCTAAGAGAGAAGCATAGATGATAAAATGAAATAGAGAGAATAGAAAGAGTGAGAGAAGGTTAAAAAAATCAAATTGTTCAGGGTTTCGTTCATTTTTTTCTGTTGTCGATCGGATCGGATTGATGAGACCAATTACGTCCATTTGATGATCCTGATGTCTTTTCTGACTTTTCTATTTTTTCTCAAGAAAAACTATTACCTGATGTAAACGAGTGAATAGCGATGAGATGAAAAAAAACAAATTTTCTCTCTACTCGTCTACCAGTTGAAAGGCAAAGTTCTCATAAGACAGTAGGAGACATTTAGTATCAAAAGTATTATGAATGATATGAAAAACTGCTTTTTTCAGTTAAAACTTATGATTGATAAGAGAGCGAACAAAAAATTTAGGAGGAGGCTGGAACACGAGGTTATGGATGGGCTAGCCGAAAGCATAAGCTTATAATAGCTAGGAATAGAAAGCTTGAGACGTTTGGTGGAACACCGCCATCAAAATTATTATGAAACTGATGAAAGCCATCACTCTATTATCTAGCTTGAAATCTCCAAAGAAACTTTACAAAAATCTCATAACGTCTCAATGGCTAACGAAAATAAATTTTTTTCGCATTCGTAAGCCACAAAGAAAGTACAAATGAGATAGGAAAATAATTCAGCTGATAATTTAAAATAAAAGGAGGAAACTGTTGTTCTGACACCAAAGAGAGAGATAGAGAGAGAAAATGAAAAAAGACAGGAAAGAAACGGGAGAGAAAAAGAAAATAACAGAGAGAGAAATTGTCTCTTCGGTTCTTGCCACAAACCACGAGGGGTGTGGCACATCATACACCACGCCCACATAAAAAGCAACTTCTCCATAAATCGAGCTATTTTCTTTTTTTTTCTTGATCGAAAGCAATTCACTGATCACTATTTTGATATGAATTGGTAAGGGAGAGAGAGATGGAAGAAAAACTATAACCAATTCTTTGAAAAACAAAAAAGCCTACACAGTCAACTATAACGACTACAATGAGATAAACCATTCGAAGTGAAAGCTCCAGTTTTCGAGCTTTCATTCATATCTTTAACAAAGGTAAAGATGCTCTTTAAACTATGCTCTTCAATATCTTTCATCCACTTCTCATAGAGAATCCAGATAGTAAAACAAGCCCCCAATTGACAGAACACGGAAAAGAGAAAAAAGAACGTACTGTGGAATGTGGCACTGTGAGCTTCGACTTGTTTCAAATTGTGGTGTTGGAGATGTTCTCGCTGGTGTTGTTGAAGACGTTCATCATTTCGCTGATGTTCAAGATGCTCTCTCTGATGCTGCTGTACACGATCATCAATATGCTGATGGTCAATATGCTCCTGTTGCTGTTGACGAACATGATGATCAATTTCAGCTTCATTGGCTGAACTGTGGTGACGCTCAGAGCAATTATCTTCATCTGAGCTATCTAGACAATCCGGACGTGTATCGCAGACGCGTCTTCTGAAGAAAAAAACGCAACTTAATTAATCAAATCAGATAGCTAACGTACTTATCAATACATTCGCCGGTTCCACATTGGAATTCATGTTCCAAGCAAAGGACATCATCATCGTACTCTTTGAAAATAACTTCATTGGATAATCCAGTATGTTCAGAGTGTTGTGGAGGCTGTAAAACAATAATTCATTCATACATTCATCAAACAGTTGTCCCATCCAAATACTGTGCGAAAAGCTTTTTGGATAAGAGGAAAACATAATTTGCAACAAAAGAAATTATTCCACTATCATGTGAACTTGTATTTTTCATTTCACGTCACGTATCTACTCATTACTATATGTGCTTTCCTAATTAACTATAATTCCATTAAAATAATAACTATACCAATGGTTAAAAGATTTCTTATCAATTATCCCTTTTAATCTGTCATCTGTCTATCTTATTATCGCCTAAAAGCAATTTTCTACCACAATCACAACATGAAATAGCACCGGTCATGACATGTTCACCAGCTATCCCATCAATTCAATTGGTTAAACTTTAAATTTTTCTAACACAAACACATTCTTACACATTCGTTTTTGTTTAGTTACCTATATGATATAGTTCACAAAGTATTATTCGTATGAACTAAGTGAGAATGAACGTAAGCCCCAACATAAGGTTGATGAGTTAAATGTTGGCTGACATGACCTGCTGAGCATTTGCTTTCCCTCCTCAATCTCTTTTCACTTTTTTCTTTTCCAAATTAACGATATATACGATATGGTTAGTACAATCGGAATATGTTCCACACATCCTATCGCACTTTCTTATTTCATTTTGAATTTTAAAACCAAAATAAAAATAAAAAAGTTTGGAAAGAGGATAAATGAAAGACAAAGCTGTCAACATTTGGCACAAGAAACAATGATAAATAGCCAACAATCAATTGGATATTTTAATGGAAATGTTAAATTTTCAGTCAAAAACTTGAAAAATACGACATCACTCTTCCTATTTCTTAATCCCAATGGGATATGCTAATTATATGCAAAAAATGTCAATTCATCAATAGTGAATTGATTGTCATCAACTGTTCTCATTGAAATCAATCAATAAGAATTTCATCATATCATTACATACAGATGAACGCTGGAGCTCGTAAAAAATTATGAAAATATTGACGTCATCAATCAAATCACTCAAGCGTTACATCAATTATGCGTTTAATAAATATCCGCCACGTTCAAAGCCTTCTTTCATCTTCTCTCACTCACTCTCTTTCTCTTTTTTTTTCTGAATCTTCTGTTTCCACCTGTTCTCCCCTTTTTACCACATACTTCAACGGCTGCTTAAACTCTTCAAATTACAACCGCCATTTGTTCCCAGAAGCTCATGAATTTTTTCTCTCTTCTAACACTTTTTAAGGATCCCATTTCCTATCAGATGTTTAAAGTACGCACCTTAGGAAGCTCCTCAACATGTAAACGTCTCTCCTCTATCTGCCGACGATGTTCTTCCTGACGACGTCTCTCTTCTTGCTCATGCTGTTGCTGCTGGCGAGCAGATTGTTCACGTCTACGTTCAGTTTCTTCTCTTTGACGCTCAACTTCTTCACGTCTACGTAATTCTTCTTCACGACGTGCCTCCTCCTGTCAATCAGAAATGTTAATTAATATCCTAGCACATGCATATTTACTTGTTCACGTCGGTTGACTTCGTCTTCTCTACGATCTAGCTCTGTTTCTCTTTGATTATTGTTATTTGAATCAGTTCGTTGAGCGAGGGCACTCTTGAAGTATTCTGAAACATTAATTTAACCATATTTCATGATAATTTATTCCTATGGAGTGAACCAGATGAGATTTCAAAGTGTGAATGTTCACCTCCGACATGAGCACATCTGGTTTCAGAAGAGCAATAGCCCAATGATATGAGAACAATATGTTTTTGCTTTTTTTAGGGCAAAAGTAACAACATCTGTACATCTTTTTTCGTTCTTAAAATCGTTTGATCAACTACTTTTTCAGTTTTTTTCGCTTCTCTATCGCAAAATCCAAACATAAGAGAGAGAGAGATGGAGAGAAGTGGGAACAAAGCCGATACTTCAAGGTAAGAAAGCCGTTCATCAGCAGCGTCAAAATAAATAAATGACGCAAATTAAAATGAAAAAAGTTTGGATTTTGTGAAAGAAAAATCGTCGCGATAGAAACCGGGAGTTTTCAAATGAAAAAATCAAAAGCGCAACTTACCACAATGAGTTTCATCAGTTCCATCATCACAATCATACTTGCGGTTACAAGCTAACGATGAGTCAATGCATCTGCCATCTCCGCATCTATATGAACCGAGTTCTTTTGATATAGTATCAATGAAACCATACTTGAACTGATTGCTAGTGCAACCATTACCACTTGAATGGGGTGGAAGAGAAGGAACTTGGGTTTCAGCTGGCTCAACATCTTCTTTACTTCCAGATTCGCAGTTTACCTATAACCCCGAATAACTAACGCTTTAACAGGAAGCGCGGCTTACCTCATCAGATCCATCTCCGCAATCATCAACTCCATCACACAACTTGTCATAATGGAAGCATTTGATTTCCAACAGATAGGGGCATCTGAACAAATGGAAAGATTGAACAAAGCGAAATTTCTATTAACTACCTGAATTCTTGATCGGTACATTCAACATTTGGATCTTGGGTATGATGATGTGAACTTTGTTGATGACTGGCATGATGTTGACCTGGAAAGTGTGAAAACGAATTGAAATAATGAGAAAGGGGTATTGTTTAGATTATTGTTACTCATTAATGTAACTATGCTTGTATAGTTAAGGCAAAACGTGATGCATGTGATTGATATATGATAATCATAACGAACGAAGTGATATAAACATGTGCTGTATGAACTACACAAAACACTGATTATATATTATTTTGTGTTGTAAACTATACGTATAGTTAAGTGATTAACTCTGGTTATTTACATATAGTTTTAGTACAACTTCATGACAAACCCACAGTTTGTATCAGTTGGAGGAATAGCTGAAATGGAGACTTTAGAATCTCCGTTCATATATACATAAACATCTAGGAACTAGATTAACTATATGAATATAGTTAAATCAACTCCCAGGTTTTGATCGATATATCTCATAAACTGTTAAAACATCAAGTACCTGCATGTTGCTCTACGTGTTGTCCATGAGGCTGTTGTTGTTGTGGCTGATGCTGAGCATTCTTCATTGCATTCACAAAATATTCTGAAAGTGTTAGAATACGGACAGTTGACGAAGACAGTTGATTATACATATAGTAGAGAACGCGAGGTTTAGAAACGTTTCAAAACGTACCGCATTTGGTTTCATCTGAGCCATCGGCACAATCATAGTGACGATCACATTGACGAGCTCTAGGAACACAAACACCATCATCGCACTTGAACTCATCGTTGGAACATTGTCTGACTGCTGGCACGACCGAACGCTTCTCATTGCCTTAACAAGAAGAAATATAATTCCATAACTATATGATATAAATATGACAAAAATTTCCCCTAATACGATTACGTACGAAAGAATACAATAAGAAAAAAAGTTTTCTTTCTTTCTCGATTTCCGTTGGACTGTAATGAATAGGAATTAGAATAAACAAACAGAAAGAGATTGAAGCAACCGCTTTCAGTTGTTTTTAAAGCAGAAATAAGCGCCACGTGAGACTCACGTAGATTTGCGAGGTAAGTTCAAGCTCATTAGCATTCACGTAAGTTACGTGGAAAGTACTCAAAACGACGCTTTTCATTTGAAATTATGCAAATTTTCTTTGATTTTTCTTAGCTATAAAGCCTTCTCGCATGTATCATTCATGTGAAATGTAAAGATTTCAAATGAATAAAGTTTTTCGATCAAAGAAGTTTATGTAAACGAGGAGATGGAAAAGAAAGAAACGGAAAATTTCCCTTTTCATGACCCATATCCTCCCTCTCCCCAATAGTTCAAATGGGACATCTCTTTTCATCATTTTCCAATCGTTTCTCTTCCCCCCCCCCTTTTCTCTTTATTATAAAAAATATTATTCTTATAGCTATCTTTTTAATAAATATATAATAATTCTTTACACAAGTATCACACATACACACACGACTTGGTAATTACAGTTTTCGAAGACGATTAGTCCTTCGTCTCACTAACCAAAACCTTCGCCTTCTTCATCAACCTTGAACTCTTGCACCATTCTGACCCTACCTCTATCCTCATCATCCTACCTTATTTCCTCTCTCTCCAACTCCTCTTTCAGGACCATCTCACTTCTCCTTCTCAATTCTTCATATTAACACTCCATATTCAAGTTTAGGCATTTCGCCTTGTTGTTTGGGCAATGGGAACCACCACAGCTCCTGTCAAGCGAATCTTATTTCAATATCCTCCTCTACCGGAGATCAAGCTATGCTTTGTTGTATCTATCTGTACATTAGCTTATGCATATTATGCTGTATTTAAAGCAAGTCAAGGCTTCACCTGGAAGTATGGAGACTATGGCATTCAAAGTTCTTTGCCTATTTTGGGAGCTAGAATAAAGGTTTTCTTTTCTCTCATCAGAGTAGTTTGACAATACAAAATGATTGAAGGATATAAGTAACTGGGAATGGTTCAAATGGTCTCCATTTGCTTTGAGATATCTTCCCCTCTTTATTGGCCATACTATCGTCTTCAATGTTGGCTCCAAGTACTTATCAGATAACATCTTCGTGCCCTTCTATACTTTGTGCTCCATAATCGGCTCTGCAGTATGGTTCACTCCAACACTAGTTCTGGGTAGTGTTACTCAGGGAACCATCATGTTCCTTGTATCAAACTATTTCAAGTGAAACTTTCCATATAGATTAATAGATTAGCATGTTCATTTTAGAAACAAGTGGAGTGTATGGCTGAGCTCATTGCCAGCGTTGTATGTGACAATGCATCACCCTGAATATCTTTCAGATGATCCATTCCACATTTTCACTTTTGTTTCCTACAGGTATCGTTGAAGTTTGGAATCTGTTGAACATGAATTGAATACTTAGTTTCCTATCATACATCTCCTTCAACCTGGAGACCTGCAATTCCGTAGTCCGTAAGGAGGACGATACTTTGCCAAAGAAATACTTGAGAATGCTCTTCTACACCTTTTACCAGCCATACCTTTTCACTTTGATTGTTCTGTATCCTGATTTTGAAAATCAATTTGCAAACCGGAAGACGAAGCCAAGAGATTTGAAGGTACAACGAAGATATATTTCCTTATCGAAGAAGATGTTCAGAACGCTGTTTGGTTTGCTGTGCGTATAGCCTTCTGGTGGACATTGGCTGAAGTAATGCTTCATTACTTATACTTTGAAGCTGTGTTGAGAGATCACGCATACGCTTTCTCCCTTCCCAAAGATCAATTTGTTGCATTGGGGATGGCCATTGGTGAGTATCACAGCGTGAATATTAATTCTTGAAACAAATCTTCACTTCAAGGGCTTTTCTTCCATCTCAAATATGTTGTCATATTTGGTTTTCCTTCTCTATTCGCGAAATTGGATAATATGTCGCCACCTGAGGGACCGATCTGTATCGTCCGTGTCACACTGTACTCAAAGGTTTTGAATTTCTCGCTGCCTCCATAACCCTCTTGTTTGAGATTTGGAGAGAGTTCGACAGAGGACTGTACCAGTTCTTCAAGAATTACATATTCGTGCCAATCTGCGCTCCAACATTCTCCCTTCCCCGCAAAATATTTGGAGTTTTCGTATCTTACGGTTTCGTCCTCATTTGGCACGGCTTCCATCATCACAATATCGTATGGATTTCTTTGAATATTCTTTCTCTCTTCATCGAAATGACCTCAAAAGCTTTGTACACAATCGACGGATTACGTATTTGGAGAGAAAAGAACATCAGTGACATCAACTTCAGAAGAATCCTAGCATGGCTTCAGGTTTGTTATGTTATCTGGTTATTAGCAAATTCGTAATCAACTTCAGATTCTACCATTTGCTGTAGGGCTATATTCGAACTTCTATTTCTTGGGAGGATCTGAAGTTGGAGCAGCATTCGTTCAACGTTTCCTGATCGAAGAGACTATCACACTCCGGTAAGAAGATGCAACAATCTGGTTAAAGTAATTTGATCTTCAGATGGCCTTTCCTTTTGATCATCACATTAGGATACTTCAACTCCCATGCCTGTATGGAAACAGAGAGATTGAAATCTCTTAAGAAGCAGAATGTAACAGAAGACAAGAAATCCAAATAGAGGACTATGTATACCGGTATATATAAATTATTGATAATAAAGTTTATATCAAAAGTCCCGATTTCCTTAATGGTCGTTGCGTCCTCATCATCTTCTGACGAGCGTTCGATTCCCATATATGGTAAATAGAAGAATTCTAATTGCGCAAAAGAAGTTGAAGATATTAGCCAACATCTAATCTGCTAACAATTCAATATTCAATTAGCTATCCATATCTTCTGTCCTCCTCACTGTTCTCCCTCCTTCCTTCTCATCTCCCCCCCCCCCCCCCCCCCCCCCCCCCCCCCCACTCGATATTTTTT